GAGGAATCGAACGAGACACGGCTCGTTGCACTCTCGTCTCTCATTCTTTTTCTACTCCGCAAAAGACAAGTAAAGACGAAAAGCGACAGAAAAATGGAGATGTCACGCGTCGGAAAAATGCACGTAGAATGTTTTCGACTTTGATGATCATCCGGTTATACTTATAATTCTACTTAAAAAAAACCTTTATAAAGACTTTATTTTTGCCACCAAAAAAAAATAGAAAGAATAATTACATTAATAACATTATTTATCAATTGCTCGGATGCTCCGAAAAAAGTTCTAACGAGCGCGAATAATTTTTAACGCCGCTCTAAACCTATCTTTAAAAGTGACATCTAATAAGCAACGTATTTTTGAGTGGCCTCGTTATAATATCCTACTTGCCGGTGTTTATCCTTCCCGATGAGATGCGGAACGAAAGGCAACTACAGGACGAAAGGGGATGCAGAAGGTGAGCGCGTCCCGCGGGATAATAACCGGACGGAGGTGGATGTTAACTACTAGGTCCGCGTAGGCAGACTCACCTGAAATGATCGGCCAATTTAGCGCGGCCGCTTATTATCGGTCGCAGAAAAAGCGGCCAGGAACAACGGGGTGCGGAGCGAACCGATTCGAAATCGCCTCGTTTCGCCTGTCGGCGATTTTGAGAGAGGAGGCGCGTCTCTCGTCTAAATATTTTCTCGCGTGCGAGGTCGTTAACGAATGAAGAAACGATACGTTCGTCGAGAGCTATTTATTCACGATGAAATCTGATTTTTATAATCTCGCGTTTGATTGAAAACTTATACAGGGTGTCCAGACTCAATGAAAAATATTCCCTGATTTTTTCAGATTTTCCAAGACCAGAAATTAATTTTTTTCCTGATTTTTTAGTATTATTTTTTCCAAATATATATTTATATGATAAATCAATTAAATGTTAAATCATGAAATCCTTGAGATATATTATTGTCAACAATGAAAAAGTTCGAAAGTTGAAACAAAAATTTAAATCAATACAATCTGCATTATGTACGATAATCGAAACAAACATGTCACTATAAACTATTTAAATAATCACCTTTTTTATTTATATTATATTAAATTTTTTATTTTGTCTCTATTAAACACATTGAAATAAAATAACACGACGATGAAAATTTAAATTAATAAACATGCTATGGATGAATCGATTTTTAACAACATAGAAAATTAGTACGCTGGGAGTCAAGAAAAAGTTTATATTTATTTTAAAAATGTCAAATTATTGAGACAAATGTAGAATAATGTGAAAAAATCCAGATAAATAATAAAATTTCCAGACTTTTCCCTGTCAATTCCAGATTTATAAAATTCCCTGACAATGCTCGGTTTTCCAGATATATCCCTGACCGCTAGACACCCGTTATATATTATCTTTGCTTGATCCTTTACAAAGGTTTAATTATTTCTGAAGCCAAACGCGCGAATAATTGCAAGTGATTGCGGCAAGAGAGGTCGGAAACGAGAGGACGCGATTCTCTCGTGAACAAAGTCAATGAACCGCGAGGAGAGGAAGAAAAGAGAAGATTTTACGAGAAGACGGTCGTTAACAGCACGGTTGCCGAATAAACTTTAGAGAGCGTACCGGAAATTATTTCCATCGTAAATCCTTCCTTTCCCTCAACAAACGTTTAAAGTCGTATCTCGTAAAGAGCATACGGCGAAGGCAAGGACAAAAGAGCAGTCGCAGCTTTTCATTATCGCTCCTTGATTTGATTATCGACGGCCGATTGACCGTTTCGAAATATAATAGCTTACAATTTTTTATTCATAATAAATATTCTTCGTTAACTACAATCTCTCCTTCTATTGCATCGAACACAAAAATGGTATCCTTAAATTTCGTTTTAAATGATCTATAATCCCTAACAGAAGGCAAAATTCTATTGATAATTTTATACACAATTCGATATATATTGTATGTACATATATATTTTTCAAAATATTTTGTCTCTTCTTTCGTACTTAAAGAAAATCATAAATCGTTATTTAATCGACAAATAGAGAGAAAGAGAAAATAATTAATGTGGGAAGTACAATTGAAGTTTTATCGAGAAAGTAAATAAATCTTTTAAAATAGAGAAGACACATATTTTTAAATAAAATATTAAATAAATCGAAAATTAGATTCGCATGCATAGATATACATATATACATGCACCTCTTCTTGCGTGACAGTTTATATCTGAATGATTAATGATAGCGGCATTTAATTGCAATATGCATCTTGTCCGTTCATTGGAAACCAGAGCTCTCGAGGTTACTTGCGCACGTCCATGTGGTCGGTGGCGTTAATTACCGTGGTAAAATGACTGATATCATCTTGGTAATCCGAACGAGTCGTCGCGAAGAGGCAGGCGGTAAATTGTTTCTACCGGAAACGTGCGAGTCGTATCGTTCTCATCTTTGTCGCGTTCGCGTAATCGCGAAATTGCGCGGAATAGAAATTTCGTCGGTTACGCTCGGTTGTTAAATTATCTCGATTATGTCAATTCGCAAATTGTCAGCTATCGCGAGCTTTAAATGCGATAAGATCGCGCAATCTTTCTCTAGTTCGAAAGGGTTGTGTCATTGCTTAAACGTTCATCAAAAAATAAAATAATTTCCCGAAAAGAAAATTCAGGGTATCCAGCAGACTCAATGAAAAAAATTCCCTGACTTTTTCAGATTTTCCAAAACCAGAAATTTATTTTTTTCCTGACTTTTTAATATTATTTTTTCCAAATATATAATTTGCACATATCTATATGATAAATCTATTAAATGTTAAATCATGAAATCCTTGAGATATTTTTGTCGACAATGAAAAAGTTCGGAAGTTAAAAAAACAAAAATTTAAATTAATTATACAATCTGCATTGTGTACAACAATCGAAACAAACATGTCACTATAAACTATTTAAATAATCATCTTTTTTATTTATATTATATCAAATTTTTTAGTTTTGTCTAATGAAATGAAATAACACGATGATGAAAATATAAATTAACGTACACGCTGTAGATTAATCGATTTGTCAAATTATTGAGACAAATGTAGAATAATGTGAAAAAATCCAGCTAAATAGTCCTGATTTTTCCCTACCAATTCCAGATTTATAAAATTCCCTGACAATGCTGGGTTTTCCAGATTTCCCTAACCGCTAGACACTCTACTATTCTCGCTCGAAACAAAGAGCCTGAGACTTCTTTGAAACTCCCGTTAGACTCGAATATATATATGTATAGCCGCCCTTAATTACTTTACGACGCTTAGTTAAGCGAGTGCGACGATTAATAAATCCGGAGCGGAAAGGGCGAGGGAACTTTTAAAACGACGGATTTTTTTCTTATCGCGACTACAACAGAGTATATAGATTAAAGGACTGCGAGATAAGATTACGGCTTCTCGCAAACAGTGAGCCGTGACAATGGGTGATGATGCGCGCCTCCGTGACTTCCGGTTTCTAGTATGAAGATGTGGGATCGCGATTCGAGGTGAGACAACAATGCGTTAAACAATTATATACGATTCCTTATCTTACTCACTTGGTTATTTACCGATCAGCTGCGGGAAAATTCAGAAAAAGGGAAAAACGAAAGAGAAATTTTATGCGCAATTACGAACTTTCCTGATCCGCCGATGATCGCGGCGACAATTAATTAAGGTCCGAGCAATCGCGTGACCGGAAATACGAACGAGAATCGCTATAAACGGCGTCATGCGTGGGCGGATTGCCGTGTTCGTTATTCTGATAAAGAAGCGTTATTATAATGATTACTATATTGTGTATCCTTGAGTATTATTAAATACAATGGAATATTATTCTCTTTAACTCATCTTGCGACTCGAATTAATTTTCATTATGATAAGTTGCTTAATTATATAATCAATACATTTTGAGTGATCTGAAGAATTAGGCGAAAAATTGCTGCCGAAAATTATAAATTAAGGTTTTCATGTTTATATGAAATTGTCTAATATCTCTCGGCCCAGAATTTCAAGTTTGATTTATATTTAATCAGTTTGTATACTTTATTCACGATAATATTTGCGATAACAAAATTATGAGATAAAGGATGAGAAAGATTGGAGCAAATTTAAAATTATCTCGTTTACACACATTCGATATTAAAATTATACTGATTGATTGGTAATACATGAAGCATAATGATGATAATATTCAACTATATAATTCTAACTATAACTCTACGCGTATGTATATCCGAGACGCGATAACACATGTTTCTTTTTAATATAGTAATACAGCAATCAAGATGATGCGTAAGTATATACATCAAGGCAGAAAACATGAGAGTCGAACACGAACTTTCGATTATACGCACTATAAATTTTCAGACCACGCATCATTAACTCGTCGATGGCTGAAAATCCGGCTAGATCGATGAATCGGAATAAGGTAATATTGGTCGGTGAATTATTTCGCGTTACGAGAGAGAGAGAGAGAATCGTGAAGACATTTCGCTGCACAATTGCGTGGATAATTAGCAATGAGAAAGATAACAGCCCTCTTTCCGTCCAATTCTAATAGAACAATAAATGCTTACGCTATTAAGATTCCTGGTGTGGGAAAAGAGATTCAATATATAATTGCCTAATTAACTGCAGCATCATAAAAACAGATTGCACAAAGGATAATTTATTTCAAATAATTAACCGTAATAAAAAAAATATATATATATGAATAATAATTACGATCAATATAGGTTTTACTTTTTACGATAAGCGACGACCTTGAAGTAAAGCAATCGCTGCTGCCCGCAGCAGAGTCGAATGGCGAAGATGATTTTTCGTACAGACAAAGCGTCGTAAATGGACGAAATTACATGTGACGCGCCATTAAAAAAAGGAAATGGATAGAAAAGCGTGACCGCAGCGCGGAGAAGAGTAAATCGTTTCTCGGGGTACATAAAGAAATCGGCGGAGAGATTGGTACGTCTGACGAACGATCTCTCGATCGAATCGAGATACGACGATGGGCCCTCTCAGTCTTACTCTTCCCGTCTCGGCCTTTCTCTACCTGTTACCATCAGCGCCGGTGAGTCTCTTTTTTTTAAATTTAAATTGCGCTATTTCGATACAAAGGCACTGCAAACTTCGTGTATATTTTTCTCAGAACATAGCTTCGAATCTTGGAAAAATAGCGACAACCGAACAATCGAACGGTGTCATCGGTAATATTGATTTGCCAAAAGAGGCTTACAAAATTAATGGGAAAGTCGAACCTGAAAAGAGCTTCTCAAACGGTGGCTCCATTGTGTATCCGTTGGAAATAATCAAACCCATGATAAGTTCCGACGCGACGAAACTCAACGTGGCCTTTCAAGCTAAAGTGAACTCGAAAAAATATCCCCAGCCCGCGAATCAAGACGAATCGAGCGAGAAATTGTCGGACGAGCTTAAGGAACTTTCGATGGAGAAGCATCTGCTTAAAAGCTTAAAGGGAGTTCCCAAACACAAAGATACGAACGTGAATGATCATCTGTCTATATCGGATATTATAAATGCATTAAAGGAACAGTTTCCCGACGTGAATACACCGCTCGAATCAAGGAACGCGGATAAAAAACATAACTCCGATAAACCCATCGAAAAAAGAAAGAAAAATGATGTCAAACTCGATAGGAGATCGATCGATGGATCGAGTTTGACGCAGAAGCCACCCGGTAAGGATTGCGTGAAGCTTCCGGACGAATTTAATCTTGAGCATAACATGGGGAATATGTATCCGAACGAGGGCACGATTCAAAACGGGCAAAATATCGAAACGAATCAGATTAACAATGAAGAATATAAAAATTTGGAAACTAATGGGTATAAACAGCAAACCGAAGCAGCATCAGAAGCTATGGTCGCTTCGGAAGCTTCAGACGGTTCAGTTAATTACGAAGACTTCTATTCAAAATCAGCTGATAATCTTGGACTCGGTCTGACTCTAATTGGTAAGAAGCATATTATCGATAATAAAAGGGGTAATCGTTTGAACGGTAAATTCACGCGTCAACATTAAAAATATGAGAAACTTGTGATCGACGATGTTACGAATCAATCTCGATTAACATTAATTTAAACTTTCACATACATATATGTATGTATTCGTGTGTATGAGAAATAAATATATTATTTATCCGTCAAACAGCTTGGAAATGTATTTAAAAAATATATAAATATAATGATAAATGAAATGCATGATATATATTTTAATAAACTCGCTTGCATTAAAATGTTATTGGCTAAATAAAGAAATAAATAAAATAAATGATATACAGAATTATAATGACTGAATCACGAATATCTCGAATTATAAAATATGTTTGCGTGGACTTGTCTCGCAGTTTGTTTAAGCCTAAAGTATGTGGGGGACTTTTAGCGTGACATTGCAAGATCTACCTACCCTTTCATATATAATTCCATATTACCCTTCCCCGAAGAAAAAAAATTGCAGATCCGGTTCGAGGTCAATTCCCTCGACTTACATTCAAGGTTAGAGCGTGTGACACGGCCGTTAAAACACAATAGATCATTTCAAGTTGTTGCGGAATATAATTAATCTTAACAGAGCAGCCGTGCGGATATTCGCGACGATTGACGACCTTCGCGCGGATCAACCAGAACAAGATCTAAACGATTTTTCCGCTCTTCTCCTCATCTTGCCCGGCGTTTTGCGATTTATTATATCGTCGACAATTTAAAGATAGAGAATTGATCGATAACAATAATATTTCCGAGAATGGCAGATATATATATATATATACACATATATATTGCGAATTGTTCCGACTTTGACGAGAGTTTCGTCCGCACGAATGTGCGTATTGAGTTATATAATCATATATATCGTGTTCATCCAATAATTTGTACGCAACTAGAATATCGCATCTATATATGCGACAATCGGATATGATACATGAGTCGCGAGGATTACATGATCGTCTATTAAAGCCTGATATAGAATTCTATAGCAATGCAATATGATCTATAGTCTATAGTTTGCGAGTTGTTGAGCGAAATAAACTTATGTTCATTCTACGTTCCGCATTCTAATATCGCGATTAATACGATATGACGCTGTCAAATGCGTTCCCAAAATTATTTCTGACTTATATCTTTTCTATATTTAACGAAATTAATTTTACAAAAATTTTTGCTCCATTACAATCATTCTAAGATGCAAAGTAAGGCATGATAAATGAATATTTTCAAAAATATTGACGAATGAAAAAATTTTATTAAATAAAAATCTTGTAATGTTTTTGAGCATATATTTTTTGGATATATTGTATTCATATATTTTCTTTTATGCTTCTATATAACAGCCGACTGAAATTTTTGACATTGATTTTACTTATTTATCCACAATTTTAAATGACTAATAATTGTAATTATAACATCTCTTCATCAGCTTTACAGAAAAAAATATTATTATACATTTAAAAACTGCTTCCTTCGAAATATTTTAATTTATTTAAATTTTTTCACATCATCGATAGTATTGAAAATAATCACACGCTTTATGCGCTTCACCTTCGTATAATAAATAAAGGCACAAAATTATAGCTGCACGATAAGGCGCACTTAAATATTTATTAGCATAAAAGATTCAAAGTGTTTCAATACTTACTTTCATAATGCGGTAGATATTCTGACAATGAGTACGAGCATAAAAGCCGTACAAGTGCCGACGCGACGGCGACAATGTAACAATTGGGGCAGAAGCCCAATCTGGAGGTCAACTCGCTTGAAAGTTCGTTCGATAAGCAAAGCAAGGTACTTGTGTAATCGGGCATTTATGCAATTCACGCATGTGCAAATTTAATTGTTTTCAATCGACTAGTTTTAAATGTATATATATTATATCTCATTAGAAAGAAAAAATAATTAATTACGGCACCATACACACTAGTCTATATACGATAGTTTAATTTAAAAGCTGCAAAAAATTAAATTGATCTAACGCGAATTTTCCAAAATGTCAGAGTAAAAAAATTTAATACATGAGGAAGACTGCGCGCTAGATTTTTGCGCAATCAGCCAATATTTTGCCAAAATCGCGTTCTTTATGCTTGACAGAAACTCGTATCCTCGTAAAAGGAGGAAAAACGCATGTGATAAAAAATGAAGAGGGATCCACGAACACACACAGTGTTCGAGTGTCGCCGCAACGTCTCCCTCGGCGATCGATAAATTTAATTACATATACCGAGAGCAGCGCACAGCCATTCTTCCCCGGATGCTGAAACTATGCCGGACAGAGCAGTTCGCATTCGTGTATTCGACCGTTTTCTCCGTTTGATCAATATAATGATTTTCTTTTCATTGTCCGTCCAAGATAATGATAAGATAACAAAATGTACGTAGCAAAAATGAAAGAGAGAGAAAGGCTGTTTCTATTTGATGATTCTTGATAAATTTCTGATAAGCGCATCGTAGAGAAATCCGACGTAGAATTAAGCTTATAATAATTATAAAAACATGTAGAATAATTGTAAAAATTTTGTGCAGATTTAATGCGGCAAAAATCGAATTTGTCAAAGTAAAAATTGCATCTGAATAATATATATAGTGTAATAAAATGGAATGTGAATGTAATAAATGCCAAGAAAAATGAAATTTTTATTTTTTGCGTAAATAGAAAGAAAATACAAAGGCATCTTTATAATATCTTTAATTCTCAATTTGTGCGAAAAATTATTTAAATTCAAAGACATTGTCCGAAAATTTCACGAGAAAAGTATGTCAATGAAATTTTCTTGAAATCTGGTTAAATAAGAATCGATCGAAAAAATTATGAAAAAATAGTCATTTGAAATATCATAATCACGTATTTGAAAGATCGAGTTAACAATTCGATCGCGTTTTGCACAACAAATACTCCTTTTATTTTCGAGGCAATCTGAGGCGCGATTGCAACTGAAATTTCGCAAATTTAATTAAAGCAAGACCGGCACGTGTGCAATTTTTCCAATCTGCAGAATTGCAATTCGCACGATGCATAGGTATAAATGATAATGTTTTCCCGTTCAATACCGATTATCCAACGTCATCCCAACATTCGATCCGTTGGACTGTGTGTTTTATGTAACACAATCCGCACGCGTAATCGTTATTCTCCTTCACCGGCGTGACCGATATCAAAGGATGGCCACAAAGATGGCCCCTCTCTTTCTCTTTTTCTATCAGTTTCTCTCTCTTGACATTGTCAAATTCGCGGCACCTCGAAGTAATGTGCCGTACGCGGCTCTCGAGACGACGCTCGGCGTCAATTCAAATTTACCAAATAAATAAATAATTTATTATATATATGGCACTCACATTTAGGACGATGGTATTCAAGGAATCCGCGAGCGCGAGGTGTCCAGCGAGCGATTCCTCCTCCGCCGCCACCACCTGATGTCTCCAAGCAATTCCCAGCACACGCTGACTTGGCCAAGGGATCTACTGTACCTTGCACTTTGTATCTGTCAAACACTCGCGACGCGGAAGAACGCGCGTCTCCTAACCCGGAAGAGAAACGCGCGAGCACCACCTGATACCGGGAAACGATCTGAGTCTTGGCACTCGCTCGCGGCGCGAATTCAATCGACCGCGATCAGTTGTCGTAAACACTGGTCGCCATGCTGCCGAGGCACCTGTCAATACGGTCGCGCGGCGGCGCCATCTTGGCGCCCGGCGTCCACGTGGCGTTCTCAGACGGCCGTCCGAGGTACCAATCTGACAGTTCTCAATTACCGACAGTCGCGGTATCGGACGAGAAAATTGTACCGTTCATATTTCGCGCGCTAATGAAAAAGACCCGCGATGATATGTTAAAATGGCGGAATTTACTCGACAAAATTTTCGCCCGATATCAACGCGAAATATGCGAACGATCGACCGATATTGTTCTCGGCACTCCCGATGCGCACTTATCTTTGAACGATTTAATTATATTCCCGGCGATTTACGTGATATATAGGTCTAATAATGTCTCGGACTAGAATCGTGCAGAGACTTGTGTCCTTGAGGCGCGAGTAATTCTCACCCTCGTACTACCGGCGTGATGTATTATTGTATTTACGCGTACTACAACACGATGTACTGTATTTACAGATAACGCGAAACTTTTCGACACTCGCGGTACACCACAGGCGATGCCTCGAAATGTAATATCACACAAACGACGCTGTAAACGAACAACGAGCGCGAAGAGTACTGCACACCTCGAATTCCGATGCCGACTGCGGTCCGATTCCGAAATTCCGTGTCCGTACTATACGCGAATCAGATTGTCGCGGCAAATTAGAAACGCCGGCGCTGTCGGAAATGGAATCTAAGATGTTTTAGATGTAAGAATTGTACGTATGTATTTTTATGGCACCATTTCGTAATATTTACATTGAGTACCAACGCGCACACGAATATTTATGTACGAGTAAAGGAAATTCTATAAGCCGTCACCGCACGAAGGTCGAATGTCAAGATGATACTGCGGCGTACTGCGCGCTGCGCGCGCGCAGGAATGCGGGAGTGATAGAGGGGGTAGAAGGAGTGGGGATTAACTCGCGGCGACGTACGGCGTCATTCACACTCACACAGTAAGACGCAAGCGACAAGGTCATGTCATGAGTTGCGTTTCGTTGATTATCGTATTAAATATGCATAATATTATGCGAAGCGCAATTTAATAATGTTCTATATATAATAATTGTCGTCATTGTTATAATATAATATTCTATATATAATTATTGTCGTCATTATTATAATATAATATTCTATATATAATAATGAACTTAATTATCAAATAATATAATATTCTATATATAATAATTATCTTAATTATTATAATATAATATTCTATATAATATTTATTATTATATATAACATGTAGAATGTATAAATAATTCTTTTAATTAATAATTATTAGCTTACATCTATACGATCGTAAATCGATCGATGAACGACATGTAAACATATTTGGACGAATCGAATAATACAGAAGCAAGATTTATTGATGGTTCATTAATACATAATATATTTATTAATTTATTTATTAATATATATATTAATTTTTTAATTATTAAAAATTGAAAAAAACTTTAAGGTCGTGTTCGAAAATATGTCTGTCAAGGTTCAAAATTCGAGCGACTAATAAGAGAGCGAGGATCTCTTTGTCCTGATTGATCTAGTGTTTTACCCTACATAAACGCATTTACGAACACATTCTAAAATGCTACTGCCCTCTGGGTTTAGTGTACTTTCCATTAGTTCGAAGTCAACAGTCGCGCGTTTCTCGCCGGTCACTGTCGTGAAAATACGAGTGTGAGTATTAATTATAGTCTAATTTAAACGTCGTTAATTTATCACATAAATTCGATCGCGTCACGTGTCCTGACATCGTGATCGCGCTCACAGACGCGAGATAGACCTCCTCGATCGTGAACTCACTCGACATCTTCGTCCTTCCGGAAGTTGGCGTGACGTCACAGGGCCGACTTGAGATGCCAAAGTTGGCGAGTTTTGGAGGGAACGTGATGAGAACCACCGGGCGCCTTTCGACGCGAAATTTTCCGGATTTTTTGGCGTTGTCGGTCGTATTTTAAGCGACCGATTGCGCGTCTCGGCTCGTAGTTTCGGGTCATCGTGTCAAAGTATCGTTTCGCGACGAAGGAAACTCGAAATCTTCGTGAACTTTGCCAAGTCAACTTCGACAAGGACGCGCCGCCATGTTGCTATTTGTTATCTCAACATCGTACGTTGCAGTCTGAAACCTTCTCGCGAATCGTCGAGTCGGAAATATTCGGCAGAGAGCCAGGACATATTAATCGTGTATTGTCGAAATACGCAACGATCGCGAGTGTATTTTCGGAGTTTGGAAAATGTTCCGTGTTTCGCCGGATTCTCGAAATCGCGTCGGCGCCGATGCTCGGACGATTCTCGATTTCCTGGTGGCGACAGCGAAGCTTCTAGGAGGATAATTTCTGCTGCAGAGGTTGATTTTCTACAGGGAAAACGGAGCTGAGGAATCCGGAGTACGCCGAGATCGGGGAAGAATAATAGTCAAAATGTGAGTCGAATTATTTATTTCACTATTTATTTATAAAGGGATAAAAAAATATACGCCTGAGTGTTGACCGAATTTCATGTCAAGCATCTCGTTAAATCGTATTAATGAAAATTATATTAATAAAATGACTGATAGAAATGACTAATAAAAATAAATAAATAAATTAATAAAATTGCTGAAAATAAATATTGCATGTTTTTTCTCCACAGATGGGCACATATATACGTATTCTTCGCAAAAGGGAAAGTGAAAGTGTCGGTACATATTATCTAACGTCGGTAAGTTATCCGCGTAAATAGTCGGAACTCTGTAACATACTTTACCGACCAAGCAGACGCCATATTGTTTCGCGTCGTGAGAGTCGTTGGTCGAGGTAACGTCGTGTCCCGCGTTTTCGCGTTTTATTCTCTTTTAAAGCGTACCTCGTACGAGTTCGAGTACCGGGAGTGTCGAAGAAAGTGTCGGGTGATCGTGTTAATTAGTAATCTCGCGTTAATTCGCGCTCGTCAAGTGTATTTTTCCGATGTTTGTATTCGCGAGTGCAAGTGCTCAGAAAGACGAATTGTCGGAGGCAACAATCGGAAGTTGGCGCCGAAGCTCGATCAGCTGATAGCAGCGCCGATGTATCCGGATGGTGAGTGAAGTTAGTTTATTGCACGCATATTTATAAATGCTCGCACACATACTCTGTCATAGTATCGATGAATGCGCTCTGATGTCAGATTTTTTATTAATCTTCGTAAAAAAAAAAAAAAAATTTTTTTATAAGAATTAAATAATAAAAATTAAATAAATAGAATGATATGTAAATAAATGATATGTCGTATTTCTGATATTGTTACATATGTATAATTTTTTATACGGCTTTTATATATCTTAAAATATACATATATTATTTATTATTGACATTGGAAGCGTATACAGAGTTAGTGTCGATACACAGAAGAATGATTCTCGCATGCTTCGATAATAAATTAAGATTGCAATGATATAATATAATAGTGAATAATAATAAATGAACACACATCACGCATATCGGAAGAAGGATGTAGTAGCACAAAATATTCCCCTAAAATAAAAATACGCTCTAGCAACACCGTATCGGTATATTAAAATAGCCGTAATTAGAACGACGGGCACGCGTAGCTGTGAAAAAAAAAGAAAATGAAAAATCGCAATGATTAATGCTACAATAAATAATAATGAGTCTATATCGTGTCAAGTATATGCGAAGAATATCGAAAGGACTATATATCGCAATTGGCGACGCCCCTTTTTTCTCTCCCGGTTAAAAAAAAAGATAGAAATAATTTTTAAAACAGATATATAATATTTTAACAATTATTCATTAACTTTGACACACAATAGCGACTTGCGAATCATAATTTTGTCACGCGCGAATTATTTCGCGCGAGATTATTCGAGAAGGGGAATCGGCAATCGCGACAACATTAATTATTAATATCGTAGAAACAGCAGTAACAATACAGACAACAATCCGGACTGCGAGACTTGGCAAAGATGCTCGATTTTTTTCGAGCTCGTTTTCCGCGTGAAAATTCAGCGCGTTTCGAATCGTTTCTTGATCGAAAATATCCATGTAAATTATTCCTCCATCTCATCGCACGCACTTGTGCACTGAAAAAAATTATTAACTTGACTAAACCTTTCAACTAAATTACTATTTTGTTAATTGAACATATATTAGTATTTAAGTCAAATATACCATTTGTTAATTTAATATGTTATATTTAATTTAAATATTTTTATATGTTTAATTAACAAAATAATATTCAGTTAAAAGGTTTAGCCAAGTTAACAGATTCTTTTTGTCAGTGTATATCTGGTTGGCGTGTCAAGAATTGCGAATGATAAATTCACTCGTATAAAAAGGAAAATCTCGATCGGGAATTCGCAGTCGAATTTGTAGCCGAACGATAATTGAATGACTTCGAGATTCACGACGACACGAAATGAATGTACAGCAATTATCATTTTTCCCGATTCTGAAAGATACAAAGTATCAGATCATCTCGTCGAGTGATTTTTTTTTCTCGACTTTTCTCTCTCCCTCTCTCGGTTGAATTTAGTAGAGATAATTTTTCGGCTCCTCCGTTGGCTGGCCACAGACTCCGTGATACTTTTTCGTGACGAGACTCCTGCTGCGGCAGTTCTCGATTTCCAAAAAGCACTCGTTACTGTACGTCATACCGTCGGTGCCGCAAACGGGATCGTAATAAGGCGGACAGATTTTTTGACAACCGCGGAACAGGAAACCTTGGACGCATCTCTTCATAGGTACCACGTACACGTGTTTCCTAGAACGAAAGTCAAGTTTATTTTTTTTGCATACTTGAATTTTAAAATTTTTAACTAAAAATATTAAATTAGAGCTAAATTGATAAAAATTGAGCTAAACTCGCTTCGTGCAATTGCAAGATTCGTGAATTTAACATGGAAAAAATTAGCTACTATAGCTAAATTTTAGCTATTCCCTATATTAATAATATTAATTTAAAATTCTCTATATTACACATGAAATTAATTATGTCTAAATTTTAGCTATGGCAGTTAATATTTTTTAGCAATAAAATTCTCCGTGTGTTTAACTATAGTTAAAATTAAGATATAATAACGAAATTTCAGGTTGTTATATAGGGACACTTAAAATTTATATAACTATGGTGATTAATTTTTTTTCCATGAATGATTTGAATTAGTACTTGGGTGGGACGAAATAACTTTTTCAATATTTTCACAATTTCCGATTATTTCTCTATTTGACATTCGACGAGCTTGCGTGGGAAGTGGGAAACGTTAGAAAGCAATCGAAAATAGAAAATGACTCTTTTGAAGAAATAGGTCGCGCGAAGGCGTCCAATAATTTCTACTTTCGAAATTGCACGGCGATTGTGTCCAATTCATGTTCGCGAAGTAGGATACTTTCCTCTCGCGTATTTGAACAGCGGGTACGAAAACATCCTGCCGGCTATACATACTCAGCATGGCTGATAGTTTATTATTTCCGTAAAGAAAACGTAATGGAACAGTTCTTTAGATGAATCGTAAACGGCATTTCATCGCGGTTCTATATAACTCGGATTAACCGGCTCTAGGAGTTTCTTAGGCGATCTTTTCCTCTTTTCACAGATATATTTCAACGCGCGAATATGTCGTCGTAATGAAAGTCTATGGAAAGTATTATACATATCGGGGAAAAAGTACTATTGCGGTCAACGAAATTACATGCGCGACACGAAATATTACTGCTCTCTCTCTCTCTCTCTCTCTCTCTCTCTCTCTTTGATGCTTTTAAATAAATGGAAATAATTTAATTCGAACGTTAATAATTGACCTTTCAGCGAGCTACTTCTAGCAAAGTAATGAAATTATTATATCGCAGTATTTTTACTGTATAAAATCAGAATGAAAATTGTATGTTTGAAGTCTAAATACGGTGGCAAAATCATTTTGGGATAATTTAATTGCTTTTTGTATCAACAATAAAAAATAATCGATTGAAACAATATTAAAACGAAAATTTAATTAATTAATTTTATTTTGCAATTTCATTCGCATTTCGTGGAATTATTAATTGAATCTTTCAATCTTTGTAAGTATTTTATATAGAGCAGGATAAAGTTTTAAATGTATCTTTTGTCAATACGAATATTTTTATATAATATTTGCCGTTTGTCTTCCCTATTATTCGATTATTAACGACTTTATTTATTATTTGAAATCCGAAAACCGTAAAAGCAAACGTTATTAATAATTTGCCGTGTACCTAATTATGTATAATACGTTCTTCGAGAATCAGTCAAGGGTTAATTGATTAAAGAGGGCTCGCTGTAATTCTCCACACTTATCGAACAAAGGTTCGTTATAATATGCAAATATAATGCTCCGCGGTCTGGCTTACCCGCAATTGTCCCTCTTCATCTCGCACTCGTTGCGATACAGCTTGTTATCGGAGCCGCAAACAAACTGACGTTCCCCGCTGCAGATTTGGTTGCAGAGCGCGGTGGTGCGACAATGTTGCGCCGGAACTTGAACCACCCTCTGGCCGCAAGTCTCGCGCCGCAGATGGCAGAGGGACCTATAAATGCATACGAAAGTGCATACACGTGACGCATCGGTAAACACACGCGAACTTTGAGGGCGGAATGACCCGGCCGCGCTGTTCAACGATTATCTCTTTTATTATTATATACATTCAGCTCGTTTAATCTCGAAAGAATCTTACGCTCCGAATCCGTTTAAACCTTTGAAAAATGTCGACGTAACCAGAAATAAATGATCGCGAATTTCGTAGGGTATATATTTTTAATCTTTTTATATGGAAATCTTTATTTACTCCGACATTTAAATTGAATTTAAATTTAAACTGATAAACGACGACGCGCAGATATTTTGCACGAATCGCGAACCGGAATAGAAGAGTAGGTTTTGAAAAGGGTCCAAAATCCTTTGTCGGTCTCTAATGAACGACCACTTGTGGTTCACGCGTCCCTAATGTTGGACGTTCGAATCCGAATAACGTGCTTAATCACCGATAAACGTTGCCGTCGCTTCCACAAACTGGTTCCTCGGGTACTTCGGCGCAATCTTCGGGGCACTGTTCGGTCTCCTTCAAGGTCGTGCACTCGCCAACGTGAGCCGTTTGGATACCCTTTCTAAAACGCATCAGGTATTTAATAAGATTAGTTTGCCTTGCGATTAATCGGAGGTTCGTAACGAGTGAATTAACGTTAGAACTGCAACTTGGAAAGATTACCGTGTCTTGATATTTGAAGAGCAAATTAGTCATTATTCTCAGAGATAAATGCAAACTTACAAGCAAGCCGCTACGTTCAAATGGCACTGATTTGGATAAGTATTCGCGTCGCTACCGCAAACCGGATCCACCTCGCTTCCGCATCTCAGCTGTTGCTTCATGCATTTCGTTAGCCGAGATCGACACTTCTCGAAGTCAACTACCGTTACCTTTCTTCTTGCATGCCTGTCGATTATTAACACTTTGTTAAAGATTCGTGACCGGCGATCGATTTCTCGTGACAAGAAAGCGCGAGCGATTTTTATTTTGTCGAAGAGAACCGTCGTGATAAATATATACCTGCGCAATCGCTCTCGTTTTACAATTAATTTAATGAGACTTCGATATTAATTAAATATTCTGATTAGTGACAAATACGCACCCGCAGTTTAGCATTTGCATCTCACACTCGTTTCTGTATATATTCCCATCCGATCCGCAGACTGATACTTCCGGCTCGTTTTTGCAATCCAAGGGACACGCGTTGCTTCCGGACGTCCGTTCCCGAGATACGCAGAATGACATCGGCACTTCAAAGACGTGTTTGCTGAAAATTACAGTTTGATAAAATCATCGCGCGTTAGAGCTCGAGAGACCAAATTTTCGCGTAAATATAGGATTAAAATTCTCAGTTGCTTGTTGAAGGAAAAATCCAGATATATCGACAAACGTTAGATCATACTTTGCATCTTAATCAAATTGCATATATAATATTTATAAATCTCGGTAAAGAGAAGAGAGCGAAGACAATTCGAGTGCTCTTGAAATTACTCAAGGGATTATAACGAAAAATACGGGACCAGCAATTCACTCGTGCAGAGAGAGAGAGGACAAAAAGAGAAGGAACTCGTAGGGTCAACGTGGGGTTACGAGAGCCCGCGAGATTTTTGTTCAGAGTCGTTTCGCATATACTTACCCGCAGTTCTTCGCCCGCATTTTGCAGGTGTTCGAGTACAAAATGCCGTCGCTACCGCAGGCAGGCTTGGCACCACGCCAGCACGATTCACGACAATGTCTTGTGGTCTGGCAGTGCTTCTTATTCGTACGCACGACGCCTTGCCTGCGAACGGGAAAAAGTCAAAATCGCTTTGCGGCCGGGGACTAGTTTTATGTTAGAATAAACTCTGCCTTCCCGCAGGATAGTTACGTGTATTACGTTTTACGAGACTAGACGGTAAAAAACGATGTCTGCGATTGAATTATCATATTTGTGAAATATCAGTCATTTTTTTTATGCAGGAAATTAGATAATGAGTTGTACAGTTTCTCGTCAATTTATTATGACCACTTTATTAATAGCAGCACAAGTTATTTTTTTGTTAATATTTAAAATAATTAAGCCTTTACTTTTCCAATTGCTTTGAATGAAAGGTCTTTTCTTCTTCACTATTTCGTGAAATTATCGTCTTTTTATATTTGATATTTTTTAAAAATAATTGTAAGAAATATTAACAAGAGTATCATCAATTTTCATTTTTAATATTTAAAATAGCATTGAAGAAATACAATTAATTACATAAAATTAATACGATCAACGATTTTGAGAGAAAAGTATTAAATTATACTTTAGTATCAGCACAGTAGCACGAAGTTGAATATGTCATTTTTCAGAAATAAATTGACATTAACTATTGCCAATAAACATATCTTAAATATCAAGTAAAATTCAAAAACACATTTTTAATTACATTATATTAATAATGACATAATTTATGAAAATGCGAAAATAAAAATATAGTCACGACAAATTGACGAGGGACTGTCGATGAATGATCGCATATTAACGAATTTAATTTTGCTGCGCGCGCGAGAAAAAATGTTCATCGATCGAATTTTCGCAATTAAAAAAAATTGCGCGATCAATCGAAATCGATCCTCGGCGTACCCGCAGGTGAGCAGCTTCATCTGACACGTGGACTTGTAGACGTTTCCGTCGCTTCCGCAAACCGGTCCATCGAGCGGCGCGTAGTCGCACGATACCGGGCAGTTCTCCCGGTGGGCCGAAATATTGTTGCACGGCCCGAGGTGGGACAGCTCGATCCCGACCCGGCAGATCTCCACCCTGAGCATGCACTTGTTCAGATAGGTACGTCCGTCGGTGCCGCACACCGGATCCTGATCGCCTGGGCAGCGGTGCTCGCACTTGCTACCGGATGACCTCAGGCAAGCAGTCTTCTCCGTGACCACGGTAACGCCTAAATGAGCGACAGGGCGACGGCAAAATAATGAGATAGGTAGATGGATTTTACGCGGTCGTCAAGCGCGAAACGAGATCTTTGTATGTGTACATCTACGTATATGTATATGTATGGGATCTTTCATTCACGAACGAACAAATCACCCCGGTGCTCTATAACGCTTAAATACTTGGTTTCGACGCTCTGGGAGATCGGCCGATTCGTTTTGCAAGGACGTGATAATTTATCGCCGTCATCTATTTTCCCGAAAGAAACCGATCATCATTACCATCGATCGCTCGCTATCGCGGAATAGAAAAGGGAACACACGACACGAGTATAGACTCTTCATCACGACTGTGTCCGTGCTTGCGAAGCACGCGGCGATAGATCGCGTATAAGATCGGGCGAAATGAAGGTCGCGTCATTTCCGCGAGCGTAATTGAAAAGCGCCAAAGCCGTCTCTCGCGATTTTACACATATACCTATATATATTACCTCTCGATAATAAACCGGTATTAATGGATTCGCGCGCTTATTCTTTTACAGTCGGTTAATATACAAAACGGGATAAAACGAAATCATATGGAGTTTCGATGCACGACAGACGCCTCTCGGAGAGAAATAAAAAAAAGGGAAACATAAAAAGGAGATTGTAATCTCTCGCGGCGCGCGAACCAGAGCATATCTTATATACGCGCGTATACAATGTGTGTGCTGTAATAACTATTAAATATAATTAAAATCACCTTACCTTTTCCGCACATCTTCTTCCGCATTTCGCACTGCGACGCGTATATGACACCGTCGCTGCCGCAAACGGGTTCGCCGCTCGGTGGGCACACTCTGGGACATGCACCGGATGCATAATCTGCGTGTCAGATTAATGAATAAATTAATGGGCGTGTTAACGAGATTCGCGTGAAAGCGCGATAATTATAATTGAAAGTTAACACCGCGATATCGTATCGTTACAATCGTATCGGAGAATACATATTCAGGGTGTCTAGCGGTCAGAGGAATTTGGAAAACCGGGTATTGTCAGGGAATTTTATAAATCTGGAATTGTCAGGAAATTTTACCATCAATCTGAATTTTTCACATTATTCTACATTTGTCTCAATAATTTGAAATTTTTTATTCAATAAATATAAACTTTTCCTTGACTCCCAGCACGCTAATTTTCTGTGTTGTTAAAAATCGAATTTTCTTTGTTAACAAAAATATCTCAAGGATTTCATGATTTAACATTTAATTGATTTATCATATAGATATATGCAATTTATACATTTAGAAAAAATAATACTAAAAAGTCAGGGAAAAAATTAATTTCTGGTCTTGGAAAATCTGAAAAAGTCAGAGAATTTTTTTCATTTGAGTCTACTGGACACCCTGATATTATATTGTTTCTCGGATATAAGTTGAGTATTCTTTTCTTATCTATATTAAGTAGATGCAGAGAGTGTTCTACCAGTCTGAGTACTGTTAGAAAAGCAATGTTTAAAAGCGTCAACGGTACTCCGGTTAAAAGAGAAAGAAAGAGGTGTAATAACGTTTACTGTTAGCCGCTTCGTTTTGTTACGAGCGCTTATTATTGTAATAATGTAATTGTAATAATAATACTTAACCATGTATATATAACGCACGAGATACAGGGGGAGGAAGTATAAAGTTTGCGGCAAAAAAAAAATAAATATCCAGAATAGGTGGAGGAGGAAGTGAGTCATACGCGTGCGCGTGTAGTTTAAATATGTGGTACGGAATTATAACCGAGTTATCTTTCATTGTGGGATCTCCTTCGACGAGACGATCGCTCAAGTATCCCCGAGGATATCGCTGTCCATTGAATATGGGAAGTCGATTAAATAATTGAATGCTAGCGAAAGAAGGAGATACGCGCGTAAAGATATTGCGGAAACGCGATAAGATCGATCTGATCGCGATGTGAAGCTTATGAAATGCATTAAGTACAGTATATCAGATGTACGCACGCGCGTGTACCTTCTTATACACAGAGAATTTTTTCTTTTTTATTCTAAAAATCATGGTAATCGTGGGATAATATATGGTATTACGAGAATTTTATAAGAGTTTCTCTGATTAATATTTTTATCACAAATAAAAAAATATTAATATCTACCTCGATTAGATTTAAAAAAATTTGTTGGATTAATTTTACTATATACATAGTAAAATTTACTAGTTGAGATACCTCTCCACGGAGAGAATTTTCTCTTAGAATTTACCCTAAAAATCATGATAGTCGTGGAACAATATTATAAGAGTTTTTCTGATTAATATTCACCATCGTAAAAAATATTAATATGTACATGCAAAATTTACTATTAAATAAAATTTACTATGTATACGTATTAAAATTTTTATTGTGGTAAATATTAATCAGTAAAACTCTTACGATTACCATGATTTTCAGGGTGAACTCTAAGAGAAAATTCTCTCCGTGTAGAAGTATCTTAAACAGATAATCAAACACAATTTCGAGAATTATTTATATATAATATATATATATATACCTTTTTATACGATATGCCGAAAATATTTCCCGGTCGTAAAGATTCGAGTTTTACCAGCCGGATCGTCGTATCAAGGTAATCGCCCGGAAGTTGTCGGAAGCCGGGATGCTGGTCGCGAACGGTTTACGAGAAGTAAAGGGTTGCTACTTACATTACCGGGATACCTACATCATACACACCTCTCTCCGCGATATTATAGTACGTGAAGGATGCGAAGCGGTATATTAAATCGTTAACGGGGTATTTTGCACGGACACTGAGATACGTAGAGGCCATATTGAGGTGATATTTAAGACCGCGCGTTATATGAAAGAGAGAGAAAGAGACGAAGAGCGATGCAACGTTAATTTTCCCGACGAGGCGAGGTCTCTCTCGCCGTCGCTCTTTTTGGCCATGCCATGTATAGCGTTTATCCGCAGGGAGATTCTCTGTCGAAACCTTAATTACTTCCGGTTGACCGTCCGAGAGAATATCTGCCGGAGTCCGCGAGCCTCCGCAGCCGCCGGTTTCGGTCCAGCGCGCGTCGGGTCAACAGCACACGGGATTTACGGCGCTCGTTCCGTACCGGATCGTATATAATATATAACAAATTATAAAATCGGACCGTGTGTACAGTTAAGGATGGCGTCGGGTGTCGGAGGGCGCAGTCGCCCATACATTTCGGTCGAATATATCGGGAGGGAAAAACACGAAGGGAGATCTTAAGGTGCCTTTTCATACGCTGCAGCAGCAAATCAGTCACGTGATCAAAATTTATTAGAGCATATTTCTCTTTTTTCTTTTATTATTTTAACGTTAAAATTATGATTTTTGCTTTTATATTCCCACTTATCACACGGAGAAAATTTTCTCTTAGAATTCACCCTGAAAATCATGGTAATCGTGGGACAATATGGTATTGGAAGAATTTTATAAGAGTTTTTCTGATTAATATTTACCACAATAAAAATATTAGTATCACAATAAGATATAAAATATATGTTCGATTAATTTTACTATCTATGTACATATATTAATATTTTTTATTGTGGTAAATATTAATCAGAGAAACTTACAAAATTCTTCCAACACCATATTATCCTACGATTACCATGATTTTCAGGGTAAATTCTAAGAGAAAATTCTCTCCGTGTAATAATCTATTTTATTCTTTAAAAAAATCAATTAGTTAACTAATATAATAATATTAATAATACTAATAATTAGAATCAACTAGCTTGCGTGTTCTTCTGCTTTGCTGCCTTTGCTGTTCGTTCAATTGAACTTGACCAATAGCAGCAAACTGCTGTGGCAGCATGAAATGCACATGAAATGGTACCTTAACATTATACGAGATTCTCTCTCTCTTTCCGATCGTGGCGAGTTGACGCGTTATTTATTAACGCTGCAAGTTGCACCTTGCAGCTGAAGACGCGATTCGTTTCGCGCCCTAAATCGAGGAGGAACCGGCCTGTGTATTTAAGCATGAAAATCTTTTTTTAACGAGATCCTCATCTCGGGAGAGCCGAAAACAGGATTCCTCGCGTTTCGTGAGAAATCGGGATCGTGGCGATGAAACAGGTTTTATCGGAGCGGCCGTATTAATTACGCTGATTGCGATTTATCGATTAGCGGCCGACATCGCTTAATGACTCGCGCCGCCGATACATTCATCACCGTGCGATATCTAAATTGAATTGGTCGGGAATGAAGAGATGTTGTCTTTGAAAGAAGAAGAGAACAAAATAAAACTGAAAATGTTACATTACGATCGTTTTTTTTTTTCCAAAGAATTTATCGCGTTACCTTGTAACCCGCTGTATCTATCGATCATTCTATACCTGTGCTTTAATTACGTCGCTCTCGATGTGCTCTCTTACCTTCCCTCGTCATTTCCGCCATGGAACGGAACGGAATAATAATCGAAAAGGAGCGGACCCTTGCATCCTGGGGTATTTCGCACGCGTAATGAACTTGCGAAACGATAATTGCCTGTGATTTACATAGGCGATTACATTTTTCATTATTTAGCCCTTTTCCTTTTGCGATATATAATTGTTACCGGAAGAGACCTCTCCCCTTTATCTCTCTCAACCGTTCGCCAAGAAAATTATTTTTTTTTTTTTTATATTACCTAATCGTCAAGAACAATTATTCGAGGTAATTAATTTCAACCATCAACTATTACGCAAAACTGCATTTCATCATTCATTTCGTTGACGTTACATTACATTATTTTGCATAACAGTTTAATATGCTAATTGATTGCTGCAGTGGCTCGCGCATGTTATGCGAAATTACGAAAAATCAGGTCAATACGCGGGGACCGTTTCAATTAATTAGCGCGGAGATCACTTGATAAAACTCTGGTCTTAACGCTCGGTAATTGATGATTTTGACATCTTAATCAATCTGAGCAAATTAACGCTGTAAGAAAATTTCGAACTTATTATCACGTAATGACATATATAAATCGATAAAAAAAAAAAAAAAAATGAAAAAAATACATAATTATATATAACAGCCCGTGAAATTCGCGCGTTTAATAATAAACGTCATCTCTTCCTCTCTTTTCGCGCTGAAAAAATTCGATCCAGGGTCCGTTCGCAGATTGGACAAGTGGTTATCTCGTCATCTCCTCCTCCCTTTCCTCGCTCCCCGAGCATGATTATTAAATGAATCAATTATACCAATAAGCGAGACGTCTGGGGTAAGCCGGCGATCGGCGATTGGCGAACAATGCAGATCGAATTACTTATACGAGCGTAGAAACTGCGGGTCGCGCGCGTGCATGCACGCGGTGCACGACTGCACAATGAATGCGCCCGGGTGGAGGGAAGGAACAAGGAGAAGGGGGAGGGGAAGGGAGAGAAGCGCAGGGCATATGCAGGTCGGTGAACCGCGGCAAGGATGCACCGGTCGTCGCGGTGTGTATATAGATGTGTTGTGCTCTCTTCGGGATTTTTGTCCTCGAAACCGAGAGCCCGAAGAGGAAGAAGGGCTCGCGATGCTGGTATGTGTGCATATCGCGAGATCGATAAAGATGGCTGAAATAAAGATCGGTTTAACGAACCGGAACGATTTCGCGATATATATATATATATATATATATATATATATATATATATATATATATATACGAATACGCCGCGGCTCGTAAATAAAACTATCGATGCGCTGAGAGAGAGCGTCGTGTCTTTCGTTTCTCTTTCTTTCTCTCTCTTTCTCTCTCTTTCTCTTCCAAAAGAGAGAAAGATGCAGCGGCGGATGCTGCGATCTCGCGAAACACTTCTTACAATCGATTTCACTATAGGCGAATACGGGGTTACTTTCTCCCTCCCTCTTCTCTCCTTCTCGT